TTTTATTGACAGCTGTTAATTTTTCAAAAGTCAACAGTTCTTTATATAAGCTTCTTATGCATTAGAAAGCGCTACGTAGCTTTACATATGGCATATGTGTTATAGACTAATAAGGGAGCTGTCATATCCACTTGCAAGTCAGAAAAATATATTTTTGTGATTTTTGAATTTATTTATTTTGAAAATTGGCATCTCTTGATCCCGTAACCGTTCTCCAGGAGGACCTTCGAAAAAATTGTCTGACTGTCAGTAAGATTTTCTGCTCAGAATTATCTCAAATACAAACCAAAAGATTGTGTTATACAAGTAAATATAGATGAATACAGGTAATGATCGAAGCGAGTCGAAATTTTAATTTTGAATCAACTTCAAATTTGAAAATATTCTCAATATGTATTTTATAATATTCTTAAATTAGTATGTATATGCGATATATACAAAAAAATTGTTTGGAATTCACAAGTGGATAACGAAAGCTAACGATTTGATCGAAGCTTAATTTCTTACGTTACTAGTTTCCATAACTACGCTATATCTATAACTGTGCGGCCAATAGCAAATATCAGCTGTCACAATGTCTTAGTGATGAAGGAATACGAAAATTGAGAAGAAAATAAAAATACTCAATACAGTGGAACCTCTATAACTCGAACTCGAAGGGAGTGGAAAAATAATTCGAGTTATAGAGTTTTCGAGTTACAGAGGATTTCGAGTTAGGCGGTAATAGGTTTCGAGTTAGGGAGGGGACGAACAGAAAGGAGAAAGTCAAATACTGTTTTGCAACATCCGTCTTTTTTTGGCAAATTTTTACTGCTTCGAGTACTTGCAGTTTTTCAGCAAGACTCAGAGTTTTAAGTTTACGTTTCACACTCATTGCTTATCAGTTCGTTATAAAACTGTAGGTAGTGGTCGTAGTTGCAGCGAAAGAGGAATTGAAAATTTGAGCTTTGCATGCTCAGCTTCTTGGAAAAGTCGCAAGTAGCTGCGCGCCAATCAAATCATCAGCTTTGCAAGCTAGTGGGGTGAAAAACTA